GGAAAGCGGCTGCCTGTCCTTTATTCAGTCTTCTCACTCTCACAAGGCTATTTGCTTTTCAGCTACCTGTTCAGCCTTTTTTCTTCATGCTTTTTCAGTCTTCTTTGAATGTTCCAGCTGAATAGAGTTCCCTGTCCTTTCCCAAGAGTTCTGCTGCAAGCTTCAGCCATTCCCTGAGCTCTTTTAAAGCTGCATCTGGACTCTCAGGGAACAATATAACCAGACTTGCACACTTCGGGATTGTATCAGGAGTCATGCAAAGAAACTGGTTCCTTTTTCATGTGTTGAGTTAAAATAAGTTCTTTGTATCTCTGCCCCTATATCACAACATAAATTCGTTGCAGTCCTTTTGAAAATAGAACCAGCGAGAATCTTGCCATTCTTGAGAAAAAAAAAAACAAACCCACATGTTGGATTATGCCTGTGCTCCTCCTTAAAAGGTAAGTGTGTCTTGTTGGAAGTATGGAGAATGGAGCTTTTTGTTTGCTTATAAAATAATATGACCCAAAGTACTTTTCCTGCTCACAGGATTGGTTTTAGGCTGGTTATTCCACAATTATTCAATTGCAGAAATGGATAAGTATCCTGAGTCTAATCCTGTTAGGATCCACACCAGAAATCAAATTTAAGAGTATGCCACAACTGTATTGGAATGAGGAGACTTTCCAAATATAATAGGTTGATCTATTTTCCTTACTCTTCAGGTGACTGTGATTGGATACACCCTTGGGATACCAGATGTGATCATGGGCATTACTTTCCTAGCTGCAGGAACAAGCGTCCCAGACTGCATGGCCAGCTTAATAGTAGCAAGACAAGGTACGGTGTCTGCTGAGGTATAACTGCAATCTTACACACATGCTTTGTGATTTGCTTCCTCCATACACACAAATTCTCAGTGCAATTTTTTTCTTTTTTTTTCTTTTATTTTTACTGTTTCAGAGCCTTGTTAAAAGCCAAAACACTTTGCTAATTGTTGTGAACCAAAAAAAATAATCCCTATCCTGTTATCTATTGCTTATTGGGACTGGGCACACCCTAGCATTCTAGGTCATTCAACACTCAGATATCCCATGCATGGTATGTATCAGTCAGGGTGAAAACATAAAAGTAGTAGACAAAACTGGAATATCAGCTATTAGAAACTACATGGAAGAATATATGCTGACTAGCACTTGTCCATGTTAAAACTTGTACTGATCTCTAGAAGACCTCTTGAACCCAAGGAAGTGAGATGGTTTAAGAGAATCTGGCAGAAGTGATGTTGCTCCAGGCATAGTTCTCATCCAAATGCAAATCTCATTTGTCTCATTGGGACATATAGCCACATTGGAAAGGGTTTTAGATAAATGTCAGCTTATGTCCTCATCTGCTTTCCAATTGAAATTGTCAAAGGCTTTCTCATGTATCTTTAAGTTTTGATTAGGGTTCTTTATGTTTACTTTTTTACTTGAGAAATACCTGTAGCCACATCCTTTCCTGTTGTTGAAAAACATTAAACTTGACAGCGTGATCTACTGTACTGCAGTAGAATAAGAAAAGGTCCTAATTGTATTCTTTTCCACTATTTGAATTCCCATAGTCTTTTTTTTTTCAGATGACATCTCCAGCACACATGATTGGGCAAACAACAAGGATTCTGAAGTGATAAATTAAGTACTCAAAAGCCCCACCTTTGTAGTTTGAGATACGAGTAGTGCTGTTAAAAGAATTATATATTTAAAATCTTTCATTTTCCAGGTTGTGTTATTTGTTGTGTGCACGAAAATCTCACAAAAAGCAATACAAAAAAGCATTCAGGATTTTTGCGGAACCACCTTCCTACTAAATTAGTTTTCCATATGTAGTAAAGTGAACAGATTTTTGCAAGAACAGAAGGAAAACATATTACATTTTTAAATGAAAAGACTGCTTCTTTAGATTAGTTCTTCGTTAGTATTAGGCAAAACTACTGTAGGGATTATTTCCTCTGAAAGTGAAGGTAAGCACTAACTTGGCAAAAAGCAGCCCCATTTTCTCAAAGACAATACAGGGACTTTGCACTACGTGGATTCAAGAGAGGTGTTTGTTGATAGATTGCAGACAAATATCTAAAAAGTAGAGACGGACACTACCATAATATGGATCCAAAGCATAACCTTTCTCTCAGCAGCTTCCTGCAAGAACATACTGTACTTATGGTGTGATAGTGTCTGTCTCCACTCTCTATACTCTCAAAGTACCTGTGGGACGTGCCTTATTTACGTCAAAAGTTTCTCTTGTTTTCTGATATGCACTTTGTGGAACTGGTTCAATTGTTAGGCCAGTGCCTAAGGGAAATTAGCAGGGGCAGAGAAAAATTCTGCCTTCCTCACATCCATTGACACTGGTGCAGAATGAGGTGCCAGAGAGTGATGAGCATTAGGAGTAGATTTTGTGTAATGCCTAGGGACTGCCTGACTATTCACTCTTTTTTTTCCTTTTATTGTTCCTGAAGTGAAATCATTGCTGATTAAACCCCGTGGAAGTGCTTAATATCTTTGACTACCATCTGGTTGGGTTCTTTTCAGGATCACTTTTCATCATTCACATGAGATAAAGGCCACGTGTCCACATACTAAATCCAGTACGTAATCGCCAGGTTCCCTGTGGCTGCAGACTGTCTAGAACAAGACTCATTTTTTCATTTGGCGTTGAACTGGAATGCTAAATCAATACCGCGCACCCAGTAAAGGCTTTCCAAGACACAAGGAATATGTAATTGAAGTGAGCAATTTTTGCACACTTTTTTCAGGAGTCATGCAAGGATCATGGAAATTGTCTCCCTACCTCAGACGATCTGGCCAGTCCAAGGGGGCTTGGATCAATGCAGATCATTCTCCTTTACTTTCCTCTAGTACAGAGAGGTCTTATACTTTGTTTTTACCCAAGAGTTGTTTCTTGTTTTTTTTTTTCTCTACAGGCCTCGGTGACATGGCAGTATCCAACACAATAGGGAGCAATGTCTTTGACATTCTAGTGGGCCTTGGCGTTCCATGGGGTTTGCAGACCATGGCGATTGACTATGGATCAACTGTATGTATACTTGGCAAATCCTTAATTTGTTTTTTTTTTTGTCTATTTAAAAAAAAAAATCCCCCAAAGAAAGCATGCAAGTAAAATTTAAGAAAAACCTCAACAACCTGCTGAGCATGTTATTGGTTCCTAAATAAGGTGTTATTTCTTTGCCAAGGAACCAGGAGTTAAGGAAGCAATTCTCCTTTCATAAGCTGCAATTAATTCCCAGTTTGTCAGCTGGAGTACATTAGACTGTTTAGCGCCATGGATATCTGTTCATGGCTCTGTCATTTTCTCACTATGCAGCTTCAAGCACATCTGTCTCTCTCCCTGTACCTTATTATTTTTATCTGTAAATTGAGAATAACAGCATATCTCTCTCTCCTGAGGATCTTTTAACATAAAATCTATTAAATGCTGATTATATTTTTTATGGAGGCGGGATTACTTCTACATTTGTTTTGGTTCCTTAATCTTCCTGTTCTTCATTGTGATAAATCTGTCATGGATTTGCATAGTATAAAATGCATAAGGCAGTCACTATTCAAAACAGAAGGCGGACCATAAATCAGTAAATTGATTTCTGATTTCCAAAGCACAGGTGTTATACACTGAGCCTTTTAAAGATCTCTATCTGATTCCCACAGGTTAAGATAAACAGCAAAGGACTGGTCTATTCAGTTGCACTTTTGCTAGGATCAGTGGCACTTACTGTAAGTATTTGAGTATACTCCAGTTTTGCAACTGGAACAAGTATTCCAGTTGTGAAATACTTATTAGGTATTTACATGTTATAGAAGGATAAAATGGAAGTACTTATTATCCCTGACGCATTGATTCATGTAAAGTATCATTCTTCTAGCAATACCATGAGTTGAAGAGCTACTGTTGTCCTCAGTGAGGGCTGAAATCTGACATTTGGTGCAAGAGATGCTGGTTATGTGTAGATCTCATTGATTTCAGTGGCAGTGTTGAAATTGTGGGATCCAATAATACTCTGTGCTCCTGTGTCCAGCTGCATACCCTAGGCCTGTCTCTGATTGCCCAAACCAGCCTGGACTAATCAAGTGCTGTATCTAAAACCCTTAATGAAGACTAGTCTGAGAGGACTGTGAACCTCAGGACTTTGAACAGGCATGCTAAATGTTACTCAGTATAAGACACTTACCTTTGTAACACATGACTTGTTAAGGTGAAACAATAATTCTGTTTCAAAAGTCAATTTTGCTGGTACTTAAGGTCTGATCCTGCTGACTCCCAGGGAACTCTCTGTGGGAAGAATCAAATCCCAAAGGTATAAAAATATCCACTTGTACTAACTTCTTTCACTGATTGCCTGTGGAGGCTCTGTAGAGGCTCTGTAGAGGAGGGGATCATTGCTGGAGGTTTCACGCTGTTGCATGACTAGGTCTTAACAAAACTCCACATCACCTGTGCACGACTCAAGTGATAGAATGACCAGAGCTGTTCACTCTGCCACTAACTTCCTAATGCATCTCATATATAAGCTGTGGGAGCCTGTTCTTTTCTTTTCTTATCCCTGGTTCTGCCGTGCTGCACAGTGCCTGTGAAACAACCAAGATGTTCGGTAGACGTTTGTATCTGATGTTGCTGCATGCATCTTGGTAATCAGCACTTTGGAAAAAAATGGGACGATTGTGCAGATGTGTTACTACACTAGCTGTACATGCTTTTCTGAAAAGAGTCTTTTCATAGCAGAAGCCATATCACCGAAGTTTGAAGCATCTGTTTTTGTCTCGTTTGTTCTGCTGGATACCCTGATTCGCACAGACCCTCCCAGCAAAACTCAGTGGAGAGTTTTGAGCAAAACAAATAATAATTCAGAGGCACTTAACACCAGTGAAAATAGATGACTTTGTGAGGACTTCATTGCTTTCCTACCTGTAACTTGTAACTCCTCTTAGTTCTGGAGCTACATCAAAGAAAGCACCTTTTCTGAAGCTGTTGAAAGAATGAACATTAGATGCTGGTGTACTACTGGGGTATGAAGGATCTGTAGAGGAACACTGGAGGGAGAGGCATTTGTGTAGTTCAGTGTATTCCTTTAGTTCATACTGAATCAAAGAGTGATACGTGGCTAGAACCTGCCCCATGTAATGAAAATGCACCACAGACTGAAACTGAGCACCTAGGGGCCTGTTTCTCAGATACATGAAGAACTTGTGAAGGTGCCTTAAAGTGGATTTATTTAATGTTTTGTAAAACAATATTGACACCTGAGAGTCAGGCCAGAGTTTGAGTTCTTAGTTTGGGCTTTTACATTCCTTCTCTTGATCAGAAAAATATATGTTGCCTTTTTGATCCATAAAATACTAAGAATATACTTTTATCTTTTTTTGGGATCTGTAATCCAAAAGACTCTCATTTTTAGCTTATAATGGTTGTTTCCAAGAGTCTCCTTTGCAATTTAATAACTAATGCTTTGTTTGCTTGCAGGTGTTTGGAATCCATATAAATAAGTGGAAACTTGACAGGAAATTGGGCATCTACGTGTTGTTTCTTTATGCTATTTTCCTGTGCTTCTCTATATTGATAGAGTTTAATGTCTTCACCTTTGTCAACTTCCCTATGTGCCGAGAAGAACCTTAAACCACAACAAAGAAAGAGACTGAAATTCTTCTGATTACATGTGCTGTAAATGACAGGAGGCATTTCACATTTCTACCTTCTTTCCATCAGTAATTTGAGTGTCGTTCCTGCTTCATCAGCTAACAAGCACTTTGACCTGTGTGGAAGGAAAGCATACCTTTCTTTTGACGTGCTAGCTTGAGGCAACCAAAGCATTTTCCTCCTCTTTGGATATTGCTGCTCAGTCATAAAGCTGTGTGGATCTTATGCAGAACTCTAAAATTACCCGTTTCTGGGACATTCTGTTGTGGTCTTCATTCTCCTTTTGCAGACAATCAGTCACCACCACCAAGGTTAGCAAGAGGACGGGAGAATAATCTCCATAACTCTTTTGGTTTTGACATTTACTTTCCATGGAAAAGCAAGAGGCAAGTTCAGAACTTTTCTTGGCTCAGTCAAAATATCTCAACTACAGGACCAGAAAGTCCAAGGCACATATGGCATGCACTGTTGAGGACATCATTTCCCCCTTCAAGTGCTCTGCTTGTAGAGGAATGCACTGACAGTTTTTGATGGCAGTGTTGAATATTTATCACTCTTTTCTATGAACAAGAACAATGTGGCAGAGAAAGAAGAGGAAATGGTTGTATGTTGTATCACTTGTGATGATGCACACTAAAAGAGTATCTGCATATTGAAGAAGAGAATTACATGCAGAAATTCATACTTGAAAAATATGTTTTACCATTAATGAGAAATGCTGTATACATAAATATAAACTAACATTTGTGGAATATTACACCACAAGAAAAACTTTGCATTGGCCCTTGTAAGCCCATTGTGTAAATTTAGAAGAAACTAAACAAATAAAATATAACTGGGTGCTCAGTAACTATCAGTTGTTGTTACCAGCTGAGAGTAGTATCTGAACATAACCCAACTTTTCTGACAACAACAAAACCCACCCTGATTATTATTTGATTTGAGGGGAAGGGGAGGGAGGGAAGAAGCTTATTTCATCAGTCAAGAAGCTGATGTATTCTTCTCCATTTTTTATTTATTCCCAGAAGCTTAATGAAGATGATTGTCTGACAATGAGCAATGCAGATAAGAAACATCTAGAGAAAAGCAAATCTGTCAAGAGAATATGGTCCTTGATTTGATTGCATGCAAGTTTTGAAGCGTGATATAGTTCTTTTTAACCCCCAGTAGAAGCCAAGTTTTGATATTCTTTCCACCAGCATACATCCGATATAAAGAATTATTCTGGATGTAATTGACAGCAAAATCTGGCCCAGAGTATTAAAAATAATGTGTAACATTCCACATTGTAGCGATCATATGATTGCAAATTACCAAGACAGTGTATTTAATTGCTACTGAACTTTAAAAATATTTTAAAGCTGTATGTGAATGGTCACATGAAGTTTCTAAAGCACAGTTAACTTTATACATAGATTTTTTTAATTTTTTATAAACCAAAATAAATCTATCAACTAAGAGTTGATGCATTTTTAAATATATTAATATTTTGCACTTAAGACTATATATAAAAAAATCCTGTTATCGTGTCAATGAGATCATACTATAAAACTTTAGCAAATAAGCACTGAATCAAAAAGTTCCTTCTTTTGGCATATTTGGAAAAGAGTTCTGTTTAGCCAGTTCACTTGCAGAATACCGTTTGCACCAGGCAATGCGTTTACAGTTAAGGCTATTTTTTAAATTATTTTGGTACAAGTTAAGTGTTCTGCTGATGGATTTTTTTTAGGAATTGGATCCTTTCCATGTAATCCTAAAGAAAAAAGAGCAACATATTTGTTATTTTCTTTGCACTTTCTTACAAATGTCAGTATTAGTATCCATTTAGGGTTTTCACCTTAATTAAATAGTCTGTAGTTAAACTCGCCAGTCCTAAAGGTGGCAACAAATGCGGCATTAATAAAATGCTTTATTGAATAGGCAAGCATGACAGTAAACACATTTGACCTCAGTTGTGCCAGTCACCCCATTTCCAGGCGTTCAAGACATTTTTGCTGCAGTGTAAAGCTGAGGAGATGGAATTCATGTTCATCTTTATGAGTCTTCTGTTGCAGAAAAGCTGTGAAGATGCGGTATACTGCTGCGCCACTGTAGGAGCATCCCTCTCTGGTCTTACTCTCTTCCCTGCTATCTTTCAGGAGGACAGTTTGCTGCTGAAAGTCTTGTGATGGCTTAGATGTGAGGCTGAAAGGAGCAGAGAGAGAGGCTGAGTAAATGGTGTTTTCCTGTGTTGTGCTGTTGGGGGTGCTTGGAGAACTCGCTGTCTCCAAGTAAACATTTACTCTTCTGTGCGCAGTTCAGGCAGCTCAGATGTCTTCACACTACAGAATAGTAGTTCCAAAATCTAGTTTTGAATGCCTAGTGATCAGTTGAGTTGACAGTGATGAGGGCATCAATGTTTACAGTGCCAGACCTAGCAAATTGTACTGTACCTTCATATTTCTGAGCCAGGCAACTTTAGAAGACTAGGGACACCAATTTGTTCTGTAGCAGCTGATCCCCAGCCCAAATATGCATGAAATTGTGTTTGCTAATGCCGTGAATCCTTCAGACATGATTTAGGATGATTCTGCCTAAATTGAATATGACCTGCACCAGAAAACCGGAGTGCTCTGCTGTAGCAAGAAATGGTCTCAGAAGGTAATACTGACCTTAAATCGCATGGCTGGTCCTGTCATCTACAGCCGTCCCTAAAACATAGACCCACAGCACAATTTATACTGAATTCTAATGCTGCATTTCATGAGGTGGTCTCATATGCATCTTCTGCTATGAGACAAGTATCATGCCATGCTTATCATTATAAATAACATTAGTAGGATTCTCCTCTTACACACCACATGACCAGAAATGTATTGTTTGCCAAAGAATTATTAAATGCTGTATCAGGGCCTTGATGACACATAATCATATGAAGTTTAAAGAGTCCCTATGTAGTCATTATCCATATGCTAAAATAAATAAAGATGGCAGTTATAGACCAAGCCATGCAGATAAACTGAGTGGCCCGAGAAAGATCTGATTGACAAATTGTTGTATGTCAGATAAGCCCACATCAGAATGTATCAGTAGTTCAGGAGTCTATTGCTGAGTAATAGCAGACTAGTGCCTTTCATGTGTATACAAAAAAAAAAAAATAATAATTTACTCATATGGTCAGGAAACCACTACAAATTTTGCCATTTTCCAGTCAAGAAGAGGATTGATTTGTACTTGGCTCGGTGCAATTAGTGCAGTTCTATAATGCATCTGTTCAGATTGTGTCTGTAAAATTTTGTAGCCATTTTGTTGTACTAACCATTGCAAAAGTTAGCTGGCTGAGTTTGGAATGTATGTCACAATGTTGTGTAAGTTAATGTTCAGCTCAAGAGAGAAAAGAAAGCTGGTGGATGTGAGAGGAAGAACTGTAACTGTGATCTGAAAATTGCTGGTGTACTAACACTGAAAAGAAATACAACTCAGAAAAAGATATCCCATATCCAGCAAAGCTTAACTTCAGTAGGATTGATTCCATGCTTAAAGCTAAGCATATATCCAAGTGCCTTGCTGGATTGTGTCCTAAGATGACAGTGGAGCATGGTTTCTGGGGTTTCTATCGTATTCAGATCTTTTAATGTTTTATTGGTTTTGTAGTCTAAAGGTTTTATTTCTTCCTCAAATTAAAAGGTTTGGCCAGAATCTGTGGGCTGCTGCTCTGTTTATAGCACTCTGGATTTCCGTTCTTGTAAATAAGAGAACTGGCTTCTTGTCTCAGACTTCAAAACTGTGCATCTGCCCTAATGTAGAAGCAGGATGAAAACTGAATGGCCAAGGAAAGCTTTTAGCAGCTCTTTTCTGCGGCAGTTCCACTGAAGTAGCACAGTCCCACATAGACCCACAGGGTACAATCCTATCTGTACTGAGCAAGTGGGAGTGTTTCCATTTTGTTCAGCAGTGTCTGATTCCATTTCTATACCCTACAATTGTACTGCATTATAAAGTTGTGTGATGGAAGTCCAGCTCCTGGTACTCTGAATCCTACTGAGTAAAGATTTCAGGCTCAGGATCTACATGTCTAAATCCACAAAGCTATGATTATGGCTATCTTAGTGACTATTTGATGATCTAAGGGCTGCTCTCTAGGCTGAAGTCTAGCCTAGAAGAACACCTTAAGTCTTCCCAACAGGTACAACATAGTCAACTATCTTTCTCCTGGCTCAGTCATTGGCGTGCCAATTTTATTTTCTTTTTATATGCTTGCTGCAGCTGTAACAAACCTACTTAGTTTCTGGTTTTAAGTCATATTTGTAAACATTCTCTCAACATGTAAACAAATGGAAAAGGTCTTTACTAGTCTAATACTTAGCAATTATAGAGAAGATTCTATTCTGTCTTTGATTTCCTTTGTGACTGTGCTTTAATTACACACAGTTGTTTCTATTATGTGTTTGCTCTAGTTGCACAAATCCCTCATGAGTTTTGTTGTCTTCCTTTCTTGGATTTCTTGCAATTGTAATGCCATTTTTTTGTGTCCTACAGATAGATGTTTTTGGTAGAGTGCTTTAAGCTGTGTAAATACTGCCAATTATTCATGCCAAGGAAAGATCAGACCTAATGTAATATGAAACAGACACTAAAATAATACTGATAGGCAGGCGAAACCAAAGAATCTTCCTAATTGAAATGCGTCACCTTTGGGCATAATGTTCCGTCATTGCAAGCCTCAGATCCCTCAGTTATTTGTGTTTAAGCACTCAGAAGAAAATCTCTGCAGCTCATATGTTTACTACACGATTTTCTATTTCTTTGAGTCTGAACTCCAGATTTTTCATTTTGTTGGGTGGTGAAATTTATATGATGGTTACACCGGTAAATGACAGCATTTAGTTCCAGCAATTCTATACCAAACTCTTTGTTAATTCCTTGAACTATTTTCAAAACTCTGTGTGCAAGTGGTCAATATTCTGTTGAAGAGCAGAATGTCGTCCAACTGACATGCATTCCAGTTTCTGACCTACTGTGTACATGTTTAAAAGCCTCCTTTTGAATAACTTGAGCATACACTTTTCTCACATTTACCCCTGTGTGGGGTCCAATATTTTCTGCCTAGAGAAAGCCGTGAAATCCTATACATCCCTGTCCTGAAATGTGAGATACATGTAGCTCCTTCTCCACAGGCTGAGATGTGTAGTGGCTGTGGCAATTTGTACATCACGTTGTTCT